CTTCAGTACTATTGTTTTTTTTGTTTGTTTGCTTAAGTTTTCATTGTGAATTGAGTGATAGTTTACATGGGGGAACATCCGTTTTACACTCATCCTATTGTATTTCATTTCATTGCAATGATTACAACCCCTTCATGCATTCAACAGTATTTGCTTCTATTACCTCTGTTTTTTGTTTGCTTTTGAATGTACACAAAAACACTCAGGGCACATTCTGCAAGCCTGCCTCCTGGATGCCAGCACACAGCCTTTCTCTTTCCATGAGTCTGGAGTCCTCAGTTGCTCTAACTCTCCATGTCATCATCTCTGTCTCCATCTCTGGTGTCACTGCTTCTCTGGATAGGGTCCCACATTCCGCTCATGCTCTTCTCCCTTGATGGTCACAGGGTCCTCTGTTCCTGGACTGTAAGATTAACTACTTACCTCTTTTTGTTACAAAACTTCTACATTTACAATTGTGATAATCACAATTAGTCACGATAACAATTACTCATTATTGAATCATAAGAATCGTATCCCCATCTCCTTTCACCAGACCCATCTAGACAAGATGAAAATTATTCAGTGGGGGTTCTACCTTCCTCCACACACTGTGAAACTAAACTCCCTCTTGAAAACTTGTAAGCCAGTCACTTTGTGCCTTCCCCCCCCTCCCCCATTTTAGGTAAGCTGCCTCAGTACTATTGGTTCTTTTTTTTTTTTTTTTTTTAATGTTTTATTGTGAATTATATGATAGTTTACATGGGAGAACTTTAGTTTTACATTCATTCCATTGTATATCATCTCACTGCCATGGTTCCAATCCCCTCCATGCATCATCAACCACCCAAAGGGTATATCCCAGAAACCTGTCCCCTACACTTCCCCCTCCTCCCCCCAGTTTTCGGCCCACAGTCCCTTTCCCTCTCTGGGTCCAAAGTCCCCAGTTGCTTCATCACTCCACGTCATCATCTCTGTCTCTATCTCTGTTTCTCTGGGCAGAGTCCCGCTCTCGGCTCTTCTCCGTTGATGGTCCCAGAGGCCTCCGCTCCTATCCTGGAGAATTAATCACTTCCTTCCTTGCTACAAAACCTCCACCTCTGCATTTCCAACCCTCATAATCCATCCCAACAAGCATTATTCACTACAGTATCACGAGTTACCCATCTGTATCTCCTTTCATCAGCTCCGCCCAGACAGATTGAATAGTACCTACTGGAGATTCTGCCTTCCGCCATGCTCTCTAGCACCAGGTTCCCTCTTGAAGGCTTGTAAGCCAGTCACTTCTTGCCTTTGTAGTCTCCCCAGTACTATTGGTTCTTGATTGTATGCTATCTAAATCCACAAGAGCCCAAATATAACCTTGAGGAGAAAAGCGAAGTGTGGGACCCTGTCTGGGGAGGCAGTGACATCAGAGATGGGGCCAGAGATGATGACATGGAGAAAATGAGCAGCTGGGGACTCTAGACTGAGGGAGGGAGAGGGGCTGTGTGCTGGCAGCTGGGGGGCAGGCATGTGGGGTGTACCCTTTGTTGTTTGATGATCCATGCAGGGGATTGTAATCATTGCAATGAAATGAAATATGATAGGATGAATATAAAGACAGTGTTCTCCCATGTAAACTAACACATAATTCACAATAAAAAGTTAAACACACACACACACACACAAAAACTTGAATATATCCCACCTGAATTTAGATACCATCTCAAGAACAGATTTGATGTATTAGACACAAATGACCAAAGACCTGAAGAGTTGTGGGATGACATCAATATATAGGAAGAAAGCAAAAGTCATTAAGAAGACAAGAAAGTAGGAAAAGACCAAAATGGATGCCAGAAGAAACTCTGAAACTTGCTCTCCGCCATGGAAATGCTAAAACAAATGGAAGAAATGAGGAAGCAAAATTGCTGAACAGAAAATTTCAAAGGGCAGCTTGAGAACACACAGTCAAATATTATAATGAGATGTGCAAAGATCTGGAGTTAGGAAAGCAAAAGGGAAGAACTTGCTCTGCATTTCTCAAGCTGAAATAACTGGAAAAAAAAAAAAAATTCAAGCCTTGACTTGCAATCTTGAAAGATACTATGGGCAAAATATTGAATGATGCACAAAGCATCTAAAGAAGATGGAAGGAATATACAGAATCATTGTACCAAAAAGAAACGGTCACTGTGCGACCATTTCAAGAGATAGCATACACTCAGCTTAGTCAATCTCTAAGTCTGGTGGGTGTAAGTTGAGGGAGACATGGGCAGGGGGCACAGAGTCAGATACGACCTGTGGGGTATCAGGGTAGAGACACCAGGAAGTCAGGGGACGGTGGCCATATAGCAAGGGACGTGGACAGTCTGCTCCTCCAGGGTGTACTGCCGCGTCCCTGCCATCGCAGTCATATTACCCCTTGCCTTCTGGGTTGGCCTCCACTTTTTTGGCAGCTTGCAATGACCTTATGGGGCAGCTGAAGAGCTTGAGGTTGTATCTGGAAACTGGGAAGCATTCCTGTATAAACGGCCTGGTTGCAGTCCCACCATACCCTGTCTCCCCTCAGTCCATGTCTTGCTGGATGACTCCTCCAGCTGCCACTATCCACATATTTCTGCTTCTAGGGTTTTCTATATTGCCTAGGCAGCAGCAGCAGGTTCCCAGCATCCTTGACCCCAAACCTATCACTTCTAAGCTGCATCTGGAGAACTGCTGCTTTTGGTGGTGGTGGCAAGCCTAGCGGTGTGAGCATGCTCTGTACAGTCAACTGGAGCTGTCTGCTCAGGGTCAGCCTGGTGGGGGCAGGATGGGGAGGCTGCTTTGGCCAATGAGAGGAGGATGCTAGAGACTTGGGGAAAATTGGGACTCCTTAGTAAAAGGGAGGAAGGGGCTTGGCTATTCATAGTGCCATAGTGCCTTAGTTACACAATATCACAATGGGTAAGATTAAAGAACATAAATCTATTTTCTCACAGTTCTGGGGATGAAAGTTCAAATCAGGGTCTTGACTATATCAATTCCTCATCAGTAGTCCTGGATGTTCCATGACATCCCTTGGTTGATAGGTGATCTTTGCATGGCTCAGTTTAGTCAATCTCGGTTTAGTCAAAGTCAGGTGTTGGGGTGCGGCTGGGTTGGCCATTAGGTTCCTAGTCTGTCCCTAACAAGGCTGAAAGTAGAGAAGATTAGAAATATGGATAGCTGCGTCTTATTGACTATGCAAAGGAACTCAATAGTGTGATCATAACAAATTATGGACAGCATTGTAAAGAATGGGAGGAATTCCAGAACACTTAATTGTGAAATGTAGAAACTGCACATAGACCAAGGACAGTCCTTTGGTTTAGAATCAGGAAAGATGTGCATCAGGGTTGGGTCCTTTCACCATACTTAATCTGTATGCTGAGAAGCTGGGCTGTAAGAAAAATGTGGCATCAGGATTGGAGGAAAATTCATTAACAATCTCAACCTGTGATATACAGATGAGACAACCTTGCTTGCTAAAGTGAAGAGGGCTTGAAGCACTTACCGATGAACATCAAAGCCTACAGCCTTCAGTATAGACTACACCTCAACATGAAGGAAACAAAAATCTTCACACCTGGACCAATAAGCACTATGACAGTAAATGGAGAAAAGATTGAAGTTGTCAAGGAATTCATTTTACTTGCATCCATAATCACCACCCATGGAAGCAACTGTTAAGTAACCAAATGATAAAGGTATATTGGGCAAATATGCTGCAAAAGAACTCCTTCAAGCGTTAAAATGCACTTTTAAGAACTAAGGTGCACCTAATCCAAGTCAGAGTATTTTAAATCTTCTCATATGTATTTGGAGTCCTGGTGTGGGTTAATGCGCTGGACTGCAAAGTCGGTTTGAACCGCAATGTCGGCAGTTCAAACTCACCGGCCGCTCCTTGGAAATCCTATACAGGATCACTGTGGGTCGGAACCAACTCGACAGCACTGAACAACAACAACATATGTATGTAAAAGCTGAACAATGAGTAAGGAAGATAGAAGAAGACTGATGTATTTGAACTATAGTGTTGGCAAAGAATATTGACTAGACCATGGACTTCAGAAGAATGAACAAACGCATCTATTTTGGAGGAAGTACAGTCTGCTGTGCATAAGGTCGCTATGGGTCGGTATCGACTTGAGACTCCATGGCGCCTAACAACAACAGTAAGCATGCTCTTTAGGAGAGGATGGCTCAACTTCATCTCATGTACTTTGGACAGTTACCAGGAGGGGCCAGTCCCTAGAGAAGGACATCATGCTTGGTAAAGTGGAAGGTCAGCGAGGAAGACCACAATGTGATGGATTGGCACAGCGGCAGCAGCAATGGGGTCTAGTTTAACAATGATTGTGAGGATGACGCGGGACCCGGCAGTGTTTCGTTCTGTTGTTCATAGGTCGCTGAGTCGGAGCCGACTCGACAGCGCCTAACAGCAACTCAGGAAACAAGTCACAAAAGTCCGCGAGTTCGTTTGCGGCAGTTCTTGCCGGGGAAACTACTTGTGCCAGAGTCCTAGGAGGAAATTTCGCCCCCTCTCAATTTGGGAAAAGGCTTCCGTTCGAGTTGGGTGGTGAAAGAACACCCAGAGGTGCTCTGGAAGCACTGAGTGGAGAGGTCCAGACGAAGGGGCAATGGACCGTTTAGTTACAGTTGCTCTATTTGGCACCCTGAGACGAAGGCATGGTATAGTCCCGAAGCTAGTACATGTCACCATGAAAGTTCGAGCTGGTGAAAGCGCTACCTCACAAATCCTAGAGATTGGTCCTGATGAGAACCCGTAGAACTGCAATTAGCTACAGCACTAAAACCGCGGCTCAGGGGCGGGGCCAAGGTTTTGCGGACGGAAGTCCGGCGGAAAGCGGGGGGCGGAGCAGAGGAAAGGAAACTAACCGGAGCGCCGATAGGGCGTGGCTGGGCACTTCTCTCCGCCCTCTTGGGTGGGTGCTAACGGTTTCCCGTGGAGGGAGTTTGTGTCTCGTAACCCCTGATCCCCCTGTAATGAAGCCAAAATGATGGGCTGTGGGGAGTCAGAGCTGGGATCAGCAGCAGAAGAGGCCGTGGCGGTCCCGGAGCCACCCCCAGAGCCTCGAACCTCGGAGCCAGGAGCCCCAGTGCCAGAGCCCGGCCTGGACCTGAGCCTGAGCCCGAGCCCGCGGCCCGAGAGCCCAGAAACGCCGCGCCGCAGCCCTGGGCGGAGGCAGGGGCGGGAGGATCGGCGACGCGGTTTTCGGAAAGGGAGACAGGTGAACTGAGGGTAAGGTTGCTCCCAGCCCGCCGACGACCCGCGGCCACCCCTTCATGGCTCTGCCCTCTGCTTCCAGGTCCGATTCCGCCTGGCGCCTGGCGCCCCCAGCCGATCCGAGCCGCAGCCGGCGGCGGTCGTAAGGAGCGAGCAGCCCGCGGCGCCGCACGAGTTGGAGGCGCCCGCGCTCCAGAGTACCCTGGTCCTGGGCCACGAGCTGCAGGCCGCACGGGCCGCTGCCGGGGGCCACTTTGACGCCGAGAAGGCGGTGGAGGAACATCTGAGAAAGTCGTTCCAGACCCGCTGCGGCCTGGAGGAGAGCGTGACCGACGGTGAGAATGGGCTCAGGATGGCCAATTGGGAGTGGGGTGCCGGGCACCGCTCACCCCGACCCCTTTGCCGTTGTAGGGTTGAATGTACCGCGCTCCAAGCGGCTCTTCCGGGACCTGGTGAGCCTGCAGGTGCCCGAGCAGCAGGTTCTGAACGCCGCGCTGAGGGAGAAGCTGGCGGTCCTGCCTCCGCATCCTCGAGCCCCGCCCTCCAAGGTTAGGGACCTGGGCGCCAGCTTCCTTTTTGTCCTCTCCTCCCCAGCCTTGGTATCCGCCCCCGCCTAGTGGTGTCACCTTACTTTGGGTCCCCACTTCAACAGGAGGCACCTGGAGCAGGGCCAGACATGACCATCCTCTGTGACCCAGAAACATTATTTTACGAAACTCCACACCTGACCCTGGACGGCTTGCCTCCCCTCCGGCTTCAACTCCGGCCCCGCCCCTCAGAGGATACTTTCCTCATGCACCGGACATTGAGGCGATGGGAAGCGTAGACCTGGAAGAAGTGCCACTACTATTTTTGTGTTGAAACCATCCCCCCTTTTCTTTTTAAACAGAATAAAATGGTTTTTCTAATAAATGAACATTTTTTGGGATCTCTAAGATGGGGCTGGAGTGCAGTGGCTCTGTAGGATAAGCACTGGACTGCAAACTGCACTAGCTGCTCTGGAGAAAGATGAGGCTCTCTGCTCCCACAAAGATTTACAGCCTCAGAAACCCTATACAGAGTCACAGTGGGTCAGAACCAACTTAATAGGAACTTAAGATTGGACTAACCCTCCAGAGCTGGTCCACTAAGCCTCAGGTTGAAGGCTACCTGGAAGTTGAGTTTTTGGCCCTCTTTTTAAGGTTGATAAAGGAGTAGCAAGTGTAAAACACAGTCCAAATGGGGTTTTGAATACCCTCCTCCTCTTCCCATCCAGTTTGGGCAGGTACAGTTTGGCTATTAACTGAAAGGCTAGTAGTTTGAAGCCAGCCACAAGTGCTCAGAAGAGAAGCCTGTGGATCACCATTGGAAACCAGAGTGCAGTTCTCTGACACACACGGGGTCACCATGAGCCTGAGTCAACTCCATGGCAACTGGTTTGGTGGTTTGGGGTTTCACCACCCTAGCTGCCTCTTCCAGACTTCAGTCACAGGTATCATTACCTTTGTCTTTGAAGACACAACATTCGTTTATTTACACTGGTTTTTGGTCATTTTAGTACTTGGTTCCTTATTACCCGATAAGGAGCCTGTAAGGCAGCTGCTGCTGTTATGTGCCGTGGAGTCAGTTCTGCCTCATCGTTTTACCAGAGCAGAAAGCCTCATCTCTCTCTCATGGAGCAGCTGGTAGTTTTGAACTGCTGACCTTGTGGTTCACAGCCCGATTTGTAACCACGACACTATCAGTGGTTACGAATCGGGCTGTGAACCTTAAGTTCAGCGGTTCGAAACTACGAGCCGCTCCGCGGGAGAACGATGAGGCTTTCTATTCCCGTAAAGATTTACACCCTCGGAAACCCTGTACAGGGTCACTATGGGTCGGAACCGACTTGACGGCACTTAACAACAACAACACCACTATCAGAGCTCCATAAGGCAGCTGCTAACTCTGAATTATTGACACCATCTGCCTTTACCTTTAAGGACCTTGTCTGTCTGGTTTGTACCAGAGGGCTCTGATCAAAGAATGTGGAGTAACACTTGACAAGTCACTGAAGAGTGTTACCTTCCTGTCTATAAATCTGGTTTCCCAGTCCAAAAAGGGTAAGCAGGTTGGTGGCTCTGGTCCAAAGTACCTTTTCTAGCTTTACTCCAACTGTGTTTGAAAGCTAGCCCTCTGGATCAAAGCTCCCATCAAAAATATGTCATTAGGGATTTTTGATGGAAGGAAAATCAACTTTTTATCCTTGAATTTTTACGTCCAATTTTGTATTACACACGTTTCCTGACTAGGGTTCAGTATTTATGTACATAGATTTGACTATCATTCCAGAGTCTTTCCCATCACTAAAATGTGTCTCAAAACTATAGTATGAGCTGAGAGGAAGCACAGGTTTTACTGGTAGTGGTCATTCTCTTTCCCATCAGCTACTAAGTACCAGACCAAGTGTAGGGGCCACTGCCTTCAACATCAAGTTTATTGTGCTGTTCTCAAATTCAAAACCCAACCCATTCTCCCAATGAGGGACAGCAGAGGGAAGGATTTTCACAGTACCTGCGTGCCTACCCACCAAACAACATCCCCCTCAAACCCTCAGTCCATCAATCTGTGGTCCACTGAAATGCAGCAAGGGACAAGGGCTGAGGAGAAATGGGAATCTCTCCTTGGGAGAGGAGGAGAAAGGGCTAGAGAGTTTGATCCCCTCACCTCCCTTGTCCTAGGAGAACAGGTCAGCAAACAGTCCATGCCATCCAGCCCAGAGGGCTGGGGGAGATTGCCAATGATGGCCACTCCAGCACAGCTGGGCTTGCTGCTCAGGTGCCAGCAGTGTAGGGAGGAGGCTGAGGCAGCAGCTTAGGAAAAGCTTTCTCTGCAGATCCAAGACAGGAAATGGTTTCTGGAGCCAGAGAGGAAAGATCTTGGGACACTTTCCTCTTTCCCTGGGTCCATAAGAGCAGCGGGCAGCTTCTTCACACTTCTGTTCAGGAGACCACTTAGTGGCTGGGGGAACGGGCCTTGTGGAACACGTACACTGGACGCTGGAAACCTGAGGGGAGAGTGTGCAATCAGCAAGGGTTGGCAGGACCTTCTCAGCCAGGACCAGGTCTCCCCGCCCTGTCCCCCAACAAAACAGCTTAGCCTTACCTTTGGAGGTGTTGTTGGGTGTAGCCACCAACTCATAGCTCGAGAAGCCCACTTCTGGAGATGTCAGGTAGGAACTGAACTGCTCTGGCTTCAGCTGGATTCGATAGTAGTTCTTGTAGATTGTTTCCTAAAAAGGCAAGGGACCAGCTTCACTTTGCTTTCTCTTCCCTTGGCCCACCCAGAGAGCCTTTCCACCTTGTTCTGAGAGTCCTCTTTCTGCTTCCTTACTATACTGCATTTTATAAATCTTTCCAGTCTCAACAAGGTTTTCCCCATTTCCATGCAAACCTAACTTACCGTAAGTGTCTTTCTCTTGCCATAGGATGACCAAGGTTGGGGCTCAAGGACCAGGATCCCCCCAGGACGTAGATGTCGATAGATTCGACGAAACATGCGCTTCAGCCCTTCATCTCCCCAGTTCAGATGTACCCACTTGGTGAGGCTGAGACAGAGCACCACGTCGTACTCGGGTGTCTGCGCCTCCACCAAATCATCTCGCTCCAGCACATAGTTACCCTGAGGATCAGGAGTGGGGAGGGATCAACACAACACAGGGACTAAAGGACCACTGCTCCCCCTCATACAACCCACTTTGTGCCTCTATGCCAGAACGTTCTACAGCATTTCACTCCAGGCCGTGATCTTCTTGGATCTGCCTCAGCCTAATCCCAATAGGGTGCCCTCTTTTGAGTCTCAGTTTTTCTTCACACCCTCCAGCCCTGGCTTTCTACTGGTGGCGGTAAACCAAACAAAACGGGAGCTCGGATTATTTTCAAATTGAGCAAATTACCTAACACATCTTCAGAGCTGGGGTCTAATAGTAATAGTAGGTCAGTCTCATGAGACCCTCTCTGGTACTTACAAACCTTTAGCAGAGTGACACAACATATACAAGGGTCCCTAACCCAGGCCAAAAGAGAAGGCTTTCCCTAACTTTCAGACACAGCCTTTCCTTTCTCCCTTGGGAAATGTGGAAAGCCCATTCTTCCAGGCTTAAGTCAACACAGTACCAACAATTCCTACAGAGAACTCAACCAGAGCATTTGATAGGGGTTTTGTGCAGTTGGCAGACAGAACCCCTGGCAAGAAACCATATTTTGCCTTCTGCTAAAGTGGAGTCTTTGACTCTTCCCCACTATCTAGGGTCAATGTGGAAATGACCTATGGCCAAGCCACTCGGGTTCCTGACACTTTTCAACAACTGTATCCAAGGAAACAAAAACAGCAGATGCAAACTAGGTCAGAAACTGTAAATACCAGTCTGCCACTATTCCTCTAATCCTGTCACCCTTCACCCCCAGCCCCAAAACATGCCATGTCGGACACTCATCCCCCCTTCATGACCCTTCAGGAGTTCAAGGACCAGTTTCCACCTTGATTAAATCCCCTAGTGAACTCTAAGACCAGAAGAATTGCACAGTACACAGTACATCAATGACTATTCTTGACTGGGGTGGTCCTAGGTAGAATGAGAAAAACTCAAAATTCTTAGAAAAGACAAGGCTAACTGGACCAACAGAGACCAAAGGACTCCCTGAGACATTTTTTAAACCTTAAACCAAACTATCCTGTTGTTGTTGTTACGTGCCGTCGAGTCGGTTCTGACCCATAGCGACTATCCTGAGACCCACAAAATAAAAGGACATGACCAGTGTTCTCCTAAAAATCCATTTTGAGACCTAAAGGTCAACACTCCAAAGAAAGATGAAAACAGGGAATCTAGAGTACCAGAAACCGGACAACCAAAACAGAATGTTTACCTTGTCTTTGATGTGACTAATGTCACTGAACAATTTGTGTGAAAATTGTCAATTGGGAGCCTAATCTGTTACCTCTCAACAAAACAGATTATTACTGGATAACAGAAAACCCCCAGTAGTGAGCAGCAACAGCAGCCCCTGAAGGGGTGGGTGGGTGATAGCCCAGGTTGGGAGCAGGGCAAAACGAGTAATTATTTTGGAAAAGACCAGTGCAGCCCTGAGTTAAGGACCCCAGGTGATAGGCAGAAAGACACTCAGAGGAGGCACTCACCCCCCCAAATTCAGACCCTTGAGACTCTTACCGTGAGGAAGACAACATTGTTGGGGAAGACTGAGGTGTCCGCTCCATCCAGGGGCACTTGGGGTGCAGCAATAGGACCTCGGCTGGCTGTCAGTGAGGCTGGGAAGCAGCTTCTCTTTCGGATAGTGGTGGTCCCTTCCCCACCCTCTACCCCTGGGTTCCCCTCAGGAGTCTGGGATGGGAGACGCAGCTCCTCAGACAGGTAGTGCCGGATGTTCTGCCGGGCAGAGTGGATGAGTCGGGCATCGATATCCAGGCCCACCATACGGGACGGGCCCCACTTGCAGGCAATGCTCAGGGTCAGATGGCCCACATTGCAGCCCAGATCTAGGACGTCCCGGCCACGAAACCACTCAGGCTTCAACACCCGAAGGCGCCCATCCTCACAGGAAGGATTGCGGTACCCATAGTACTTGCAATAATTTCCATACTGGAACTTGCGCTGTTGCTTTTTGAAACCTGCTGCAGGTAGTGGATGGTGGTGGTAGCGACCTCCCCCGCTCCCGCGGCCCTTTTCCTTAGGACCCTGGCCTCCACCCCTGGCCCCTGCCTCTGATTTGCTGGAAGTCCTACGACGTTTGCGATGTCGAGAGGAGGAAGACGTGGGTGCAGGGGTAACTGAGGCGGCTGGAGGGACTGAAAGGGAGGCTGTAGAACCCTGCAGGGCATTTGGAAGGGGCGACACCACCTCATCCCTGCAGTTGATGGCTGTATTGAGTTCGTAAGGTTGGGGGGCATCCCGGTTCTGGCCTCTCGGACGTTGGGGCGTGGCTCCCTCCCCATGGAGTGAGGGAGTGAGAGGCGCTGCGGGCAGGATGGTAGAGTGGCTATCATTCCCACCAACTGCCTGCTGCTGCTGATGGTGCTGGCCCCGGTGTCTGTGTCGCTTCCGACCAGCCTTGAGTGGTGAAGCAAGAACTACTTGGGCCTCATCAGTGCACGTATTGAGACTGAGCGGGTCAGTAATATCTTTGGGGATGAGGATCTCCACTGGATCACGCCCCTTGGCCGGAAGCGGGGATGACTTAGGGGTCTCCGCATTGAGCGTGCGGCTCACTTCCTCATCCAGAAGACTATTCAGGTTCAGTGGATCAAAGATATTGCCCCCCAGAAGGAAGTTGGAGGGTAGTACAGAGTCACAGTCCGAATTAACTCTTCTGCGCCTTTTGAAGGCCGGATGTTTGAAGCCTCCACCGCCTCCCCCTACATTACAGCTATTCCTCCTCTTGCCCCCACCCCCCCCGGGGGGCCTGTGGGGCTGGTAGCCATTTCGAGGTCGAGGAGGAGCAGGGGGACCCAGTTCTGTCCCACCTCCTGCCCGTCGCTCCTCCCCCAGCTCCGGGGGAGCGGCTCGCCCATAGGGACCTGACAAGCGGGCCTCTCCAAGCGACTGCGCCTGGGGGCCGCCCCCTCGCTGCTGTTGCGACTGCCCGCCCCGAGAGGTGTCTGCAGTACCGGGACTCTCCCCACAAGCCGGAGCCCCTGCAGAGTTTACGCGAGGGCCGGGCCCACGTTCCGCCCGGCCGCGGAGCTGCCCGGAGGCGGCCTCTCGTGGCGATTGAACCGTGGGGCCGCCCCCTCCGCTCGACTCATCTTTGAGCGGCGGCGGCGGGGCCGGCACCAGAAACGGCTCCTTCTCCGCCGCCATCTCGATCATTTCCTCCCTTTACTCCTCCCAGAGAGTAACAAGAGGGATTAGGGGGCTTAAACCCCCTCCGTAGACCCTGCTCCCCTCCCCCCTCCCCCGAGTGCGCACGCAGCTCTGCACTTCTCGCCTAGTCTCGCGGCCGAGCGCCGCGCCCCCCCTCGCGCGCCCCGTTAGCCCGCGAGACCCGAACTCGAGAAATCAACCACGCTTGCGCCGACCTCTTTCTCCTCCACCACTACCACTTAATCGCGAGCGCGCACTGCTAAAGCGCGTTCCTTTCGCCCCAGAATCACGCATGCGCACTCCGCCACCACCCAGGTTGCGCGCGCATCAGCGTACGAACCAACTTAACGGCTCCAGGGAGTTTAAATATAGTACCCCTTTAGCCCCCCAAAACCTACCACCCCAAACTGACACCCTACTTCCCTTCGCAGTTATGTCGGTGACTAATGATATCCGTTGTCTCTGCCGCGCGATCCCACCCACCGTAGGCGGGGGACGAAGAGCTGGTGTGAAAAGGTCTCCTTCACACCCGACCCTTGTTCCTGAGGAATGAGTCTCAGCGGTCTCCGCCCGGCTCTAAACCCAACAACCTCTCCACCCCGCCTCCTTCCTCCCCCTAGTCGAGAGCGCCTGCGCACACCCTTTTGGGCTTGCGCGGGTAGATGCAGCACGTGCTGGGGATGAAGTCCCGCCCTCCGTTCTATAGGCGGGGACTGTTACGTAGCTTCCTTAGGTTTGCGTCAGCGCGACTCGGTGAGGCGTGATTTCCTAAGGATAGGGGCGGACTCATGAATTATTCATGACTTGTTGCCCCTCAGTCCATTCACTTAGAAGGGAGTTGAGTAGTGAACCTAAAGGTAGAAGAAGGAAAGTTTTTCCTATGATCTGCTCTCAGAAGAACGAGATAGGTCGGTCATTAAATTAACTCACCCCACTCGAAAATATTCTCTGTTGAACTGAAAGTCAACAATACTAAAATAACCGAGGTTTTCCAACTTCCTTCTGTGCCGAAATGGCTAGAGTCCTTCTCACCCTTCCGCTTTCCCTGAAACGCGATCACCTAGGTACACCACGCCCTCCTTCCTACCTCCACACCCACAGCCAACGCTTCCGCCCACTACCTGACGCCTGCGCTGGAGCCCAATAGCCGATTTCGACCCTGACGCCCACCGCCTTCTCCTCTACCTCGCGCTCAGTCCTTCCCAGACATTTGCTGTCGAATCGGGCCGCCTTCTATAAAAACATGTGTGGGCGGGAAAGAGGATTCGGTCGGCTTTGGGTCCCCCTGTCCTAGCCAATGGGAAAAACAACAACCATCTGACGCTCTTTCCATAGGAAAGAGCCCGTTTTCGCTGCTGAATGCTTGGGTGTGCGAGCAATATGGCTGGGAAGAGGGGACAGTGGGGCTAAGCAGTCTCAAAATGTTAAGATAGGGGGTGAAGGGCCTGAAAGAAAGAATGTTGTTGTTAAGTGCCGTCGAGTCGGTTCCGACCCATAGCGACCCTGTACAGGGTTTCTAAGTCTGTAAATCTTGACGGGAAGAGAAAGCCTCATATTTCTCCCGCGGAGCCGCTGGTAATTTCGAACTGCAGACCTTAAGGTTTGCAGCCCGATTCGTAACTACTACGCTACCAGAGTTCGAAGAAAAAAACAGGAAAAGAAAAGAAGGAAAGGGCAATCTGGAGGAGGGGGAAAAAAGTATAGTACAAGAAGGATGTGATTTCAGGTACAATCAGGCGCTGCTGCTGCCGCCTAAAAGAAAGGTGAAGCCAGCGAAGATTATGGGACTTGTAGTTCTACAGGTTGGAAAATGGCGGAAATGATTTGCGAACCGCCTGTTTAAAGCTGCGCGTGCGCCTAGGCCTTGTGCGCGCGCTGCGGGCGGGGGCGGGAAGGGTGGAGCTTGTGCGCATCCTCGCGCCTTCTCCTGGCGGGAAAACTGGATCCAGGTTGTAGGTGCTTGGAGATTCGCTGCTAGTTCACTCAGCTGCTCGCCTTTAGAAGGTATAAGAGTCCTTTTAGGGTGTAAATGAAGTTGCTAGGCGCGGCCAGTCATGGTACCTGTAGTCTGAGGAAAAACTTTCTCTTCAGGGTGACAACCAACTCTTAGCCACCTGAGAATTTTATCTCAAATTCACCCCCACAAGACAACAAAAACTATCCAGTATAATGGCGGGCAGCGATCTGAGAGGGAATGAGAATTATGAGGCTGAGGAGAAATTATCTCCTCGTGGGACTATTAATGTTGAAGAGACTAGAGACCCACTTTCTGAGGGGAGTTTAGAACCTCTCACGGTGTGATACCTCAGATCTTAATTGCTGTCCTGAGGAGAATTGGTGAGAAAAACACGCTTAGGGATCGCCCAAAGTTCTTGTCTATGATTTTCAAGAGGAATTGGGTGTTTTCTGTTCCAAACCGTGACACCCCGTGAGGAGAAATGGTGTAGGGGTCTGGGGGTTCTGTGGCGATGTGCTCCTTGAGAAAACCAAAGAAACCACGCTAGTTTGAGCAAAATGTAGCATTTGGGGCCGTTGATGACAAGAATAGGAAAGCCGACAGCAGGGCCTGGAAGAGTCTTCTTTATTTTGGTCATAAATGGCCAAATTTGTGCTTCCTTTCACTCCCCAAATCGGGAACTTTGAGGTCACTATTTTTAAGATTCTGTACAAGGTTCAGTTGTGTTAGGTGCTGCTAGTTTAGGCAGTTACCATTACATGTGACAGTATGGGCACCTGGACTCGTTTTCTTTTTTGTTAAGAATTTTCTTTTAAATCATGTTTGCCGAGCACCAAAGAAGATAAAAACTAGTCCTAGTTACCCAGGCAAGAAAGTAAGCAGGAATTCACACACCACCAGAAGGAAATTAGACTCAGGGGTAAGATTTAAATAAAGGGTTTACATTGTTGTTGTTTTTTTAGACTTGTGGAGTTTGTGTTAGAGGACAGTTCTAAAGGCTTATTTTTTGCCCTTTTATGTCAAGGATTGGAAGAACACAGTAAGAGGCAACAGTTGTAGAGACCAGAAATTCATGAACACATTCTCGGTGGGGCAGAGAACTATTGGCAAGATGAAATTATATAGCTTGAGATTTCTCAAACTTTTTTGTCTTAGAATCCTTCTGTACTCCTAAAAATCAAGACTCCAGGAAGTGTTTGCTTATAAAGTTTGTATCTATTCAGATGAATACACTGGAAATTAAAGCATAAAGATTTAAAATATTTAAGATGAATGAAGCTCTTCCTCCCAAATGAGATGAAGCTCTCCAATTAAAGATAGGTAGGAGTTCTGGTGTGGCACTGTAGGATAAGCACTAGACTGTTAACCACAAGGTCAGTGGTTCAGACCCACCAGCTACTCCTTGGAGACCCTATGCAGGGTCACTGTGAGTCAGAACCGACTCAATTGCACTTAACAGCAACAACAACAATTGGGAAAGGGAAGAGACTCTGGTGTCTTTGGTGCACCCTGAGAATCGCTGTGCTAGATGATTTCGCTTCTCAAAATGACTGTGATCATTTTTAGTGTTCTGACTGAAAAGAGTCCTGGTGTGGCACTGTAGGATAAAGCACTGGACTGCAAGGTCGATTTGAACTTCAAGGTCAGTGGTTCAAACTCAGCAGTCACGCCTTGGAAACCCTGTACAGGGTCGCTAAGAGTCTGAACCAACTCGATAGCACTTAACAACAAAAACAATTAAGAGGCGCCTTGGTGGCATAGTGGTTTAAGCACTGGGCTGCTAATCCTAAGGTCTGTGGTTAAACCCAGCAGCTGCTCCATGGGAGAAAGATGAAGCTTCTACTCCTATAAAGATTTACAGCCTCAGAAACACTCTGGGGCAGTACTATAGGGTTGCTATGAATCAGAATTGGCTCCAAGGCAGTGGGGTTGGTTTGGACTGAAGGAAAACTCATTTTCTTTTTTTGGAGAGCTTCATTCATCTTTTTAAAGTTCTTTTATATGAGTATATTGAATAGGTGGGATTGTGTTTATGGAACTATCCTGGTTCTTTTCCTTTCCTACATAAAACCTTGATGAAATAGTTCTCCCCTCTCCTTTTTACCTAAGGTAAGAAAGAAATTAAAACCTCAAGTGTTGTGGCTAGACAGTAGTCATTTTGTATATTTATAGACTCTCTTTTATCTCTTTCTGAACTTTTTTTTTGGTAGGAGGAAGAGAAATATTTATCAACTTTAATTATTAACTTTGATGTTTTATATTTGTTTTTATGAATGTGGCACAGACTTGTATAGGTCTTTGGACATGAACAAGAACCCTGGGGAAAATACAACCCACACTGTGTGAGGAGGTCTGAACTAGTTTTTAATATTCTTTATTGTGGAAGAAAATTCCTTTGAAACAGAAACAGTATCAGAAAGTGACTGTCTGGCTTTCCATTTTCTATTATCAGGCTAGTCTTTAAAAGTAATGATCTTTGTCATACCTCTACCCTAGATTAAGGGACAGTACAATGGAGTTCTGGTTTGGTGCTGTAGGAGCAACACAGTGACTTAATAACTGCAAGGTTTGCAGTTCAAACCCACCAGCAGCTCCTAGGAAACCCTATACAGGGTCGCCATGAGTCAAAACTAACTTGACGGCACTTAACAACAACAACCAACAGTTAACGGTATCAGCTGATGATCAGGAAGTTGGAGGTTCAAATCCACCCAGAGGTGCCTTGGAAGAAAGGCCTGGCAATTACTACCAAACAGTAGTAATTGAATACTTGATTTAAAAAATATATGTAGACTTAAAAAACTGAAAGTATTATCTCAAGCACACTAATTTTCATTTTGCTTTTTTTTTAAGCATAATTTA